TACATGTACTGGAAGAGATTAGGTGGTCAGTGTTACCATGAGGATACTGTGTACATCCAGAACTGTGTGCAAGAAAAGTCAGCACACTACCAAGTGAAAATACAGCCGCTAGATTTGGAGGGGGAGCGGCCACGTCGTCAGAAATCCTGCAGGATTTAGGATCCCCGAAACATTTGAAATTTGCATGAAGCCATAACCACCCCCGCAAATTGGTTGCTTCGGGTGTGTTGATAGCGTCAGCAAGTGGGTGTTAATCAAATTTACGTGACCTAATATTTTTAAATTTACCATGTTTAGATAGCAGCAAGAACTTTTAATAACCAGCACACAGAGTTGGTGAAATGTTTCAGTATACTCAGATTGATTACTTTGCTCCATGGCTCATAAACTTGATTAAATAGGAGAACAGTCTTGTCTTTAATTGCTAGCTCCGTTTCATAAGCTCTCATGGTATTTTGTCCATATGATTCAGATTTATCAAAGTCAATCTTTGTGGAAATCAGAGACGGATAAATAATAGAACATATTTTAATCGGGGTTGCATTTGTTTTGTTTTGTTTATATATTAGCCTTTGTGTAATCAATAATAATTCAATCAGGGTAATACAACATGGAACATTTCTGGCAATACCTATTTTGTTCATCTAAAAGTTGCATATGAAGACGCGGAGCTTCTGAGAAAGCGTTAATAATGGGTAAAAGAAATGAATCACAGTCCGGCCACATTAAAGAACACATCTTCAGCCATTCCATGTTTTTCTTTAATTTTCTTTTTCACATTTAAAGCTTAATGATTTCATCCCCGAAAGCCAGTGTAACCCATAAGGTCTAGTGATATAGACTAATTGCATCCGTAGACCATACAAAATGTAGAGAGAGGATGTTTCAGTGGGTTAACATTCATTTTTTGGCACGAGCCAGCTCTAGTCTACAGCATCGCCAACTGAGGGGTGAAGATATATTTTTTCACTGTCTTTGATCTACACTTAAAAGTCTGCTACTAGCATGATCACGGTGGAGTACGAAACCTTATACTGAGAGATAAAATGTAGGGGAACACACTTTGATTCATTTTGCACATACTGGGTATGTGCAAACATTACTCGACCCTGGTAAAGCATAATAATAATTATGTTGTGGCAGTAGGTCAAAATAAAGAAAGGTTATAATAAAGTTCCACCCTGAAATTGAGATTATCACACACTAGGTAGGAAAGTCAAACATTTTGATTGGATAGCTCATGAGCTTATAGGCTGCAAGAGACATATTAACAAAAAAAGCAGTAATTAAGAGGTCCATAAGGGGTCGTTAATAATGCTGATTTGCAAATAGAGAACAGAGGTTGAGGGCCACAAAGGTAAATGTGGAGCCACATGCTACATTGCATTACATCCCAGTATAACGTTTTGCTGTTATTCATCATCTCAAGAGACTCTATACACACGGCTCCTTTGCAGGACCCCAGACTGCATCTTTAATGTACTTGCATTTCTTCTAATATCCATATAAGAACTACAGAAACTACAGTGAAACACTGTAAAGCTTTTCCAAAGTTACTTGATCTTTGCAGTACTTTTATTGTTGTTGCAGCACTTTACGTATGCAAATGAGGCTGATAAAGTTTAATCATTTATGCGAACAGATGTATTAAAACTTCCTGCTGTAGACTGTGTAAGCAAAAAGACTTTAAAGAAATACTGGCCCACCGCACGCTCGCTTCTACTGGGACTACATCATAAATAGAAACTGGTAATAACGCCAGCTCATGAATACTTAATTCATGTTAACCTCTTAAACCTTGCCAGACCCACCAGCGAGGCCATCATTACAAAGTCATGTTCACAAAATCCAGTGAACTGTACTCAGGTCAAGACGTTAGTGTCTCTCCAGGGATAGCAAATGTCTAAATTATAGAGAATTATAGAGAGAGAGAAATTTCAAACAATCGTCACACAGACGTGGTGAAGAAGGTACGTGATATATAGCAGAGTTTACAAGTTGTTTGATTTTTAGGTTTAGTTACAGGAATGGGCATTTTATTATTAAAAAATCTGTCCTCTATGGCTGAAGAGAAGGTTAAAAGAGCTGTAAAAGTGAAAAACTTTAAATAGTATAGTCTATATAGTGTAGCACTATATACATTTGCCTCACAATCAAAAGATCCCTGGTTTGATACCAGGAGGAGATACAACTGTCTCAGGGGGTTGCGTTGGGAAGGGCATCTGGTGTAAAAATAGAATATGAGGTGACCTATTTTGACTAACTTTGAGTATAGTTCTTGACTGTAATAAACTGAGCTAGGAGTGTCTGTAAAACTCTCTAGGATAGCTCAGCATTAGTAGATTTTTTTTCTCGCACTTTCTATTACAGATGAGTAATAATGTTGTAATAGTGGAGTAAACAGACTAGAAAGTTATTACCACTTCATTACAAAAGTAATAGGAAAGTCATAAAAGTATTGAGAAGCTACCACATGTTTCCTGGACCTTGTTTTTATAGGTTATTAATTTGGCCTTAAATAGAAACAGGCACTTTGTTGCCCTGATTGTTGGTTATTACACAGAAATCATCAGGTAATATAACTTCTGTTTATCAGGTGTTTTCAGGTAATAAGCCACAACATTAAACATATATACTGTTACCTTCAAACAAAGACTAATACTGGGGACAAAAGAATAATTTCAGCATTATGGTAATTTTATCATCATATTTTCAATTAGCATAAAACAAAATTAACTTATTTATTATAAGGTTACTACCACAGATCATTATATATACTGTATATATAAAAAAAACAGATTTTGCCATTTTATTGCTAGCAGGTTATTATATTGTTACTATACCTTTACTATACTATTACTAATTTGTTTTGCCTTATGCACATACATTTGCTTCCCCATTATTATTATGCCCAGTTTCTGCATTGTTGCTTACAAGTTACCCGGTTACATCAAGGTCAATGTGATATTGCTCTGGCACAATTTTGATTTGAGAGAATTACATGGATACTAGTTTGGCGGCTAGCACAAACTTGCTAAATCCATATTATTACCTTTTTGTTTCCACGTAATTACCCCACTATTACCACATTATTACCTAGCTGCGATAGAAAGTGCGGCTGATATTTTTAGACTAGGTCATTTACTATAAGTGACCCTTTTCACATACAAACTCCAGCCTGTGCAGGTGACCTAAAATTTAACAAAACATTTTGCACAATGCTTCTAATATGAGTACCGACTGCAGTTGGTGACCAAATGTGTGAAAGAGACAGTATACAAATGTGTTGTATGTGTGTGTTTATGCATGTGCATCCCACAGGCTGCAGGGGACAAGGTCAGGCAGGACGACATTTTAATTAACCATCACTCAGTCTCACACTATCATCAGCCAAGCAGTTTTTATAGCTAAGAGCTGGTTTTACACCAGGCGTGAAATAACCCTATATTGATTAATCTCAGTGCCTTTGTGACTGTTTCTATCTGTTTGATTGTGTCTTTTTCTCTCATCTAGACACACTCTGTACACGCAGAAATGTCTGTTTCATCATCTTATCACCGCTCGTTTGATCTTTCATTTTCATTGTGCCATTTTTTCTTTCCCTTTCGCGCTCTCTACGTTATTTCTTTTCTCTTTGGACAGCTTCTTGTATTCACATGTTCCTGTTTTAATCTGTATGCTGGAACCCCAGTGAACCATTTAAAATCTGTATACCAGAGTTGGCTGAGGAGGCATTCAACATTCACCACATCATGTTCTCGGATCCTTTCATTAGAGAGCAGGTCAGCGCGCAGTGTGTAACACCGAGCAGCCGAGTCTGTGTGCGTGACAGGTTGGGTTTTTTTAATACATTTTTATACAGATGGGTAGATGTGCAAACATCCAGACTGATAAACAAACGCTACGGTTGCACCAATGACTTGATTAGCTGATCATCAGAAAATAAACTGCAGCGTTTTTATTGCTAACTAATGAAGGTTCATGCAGTGAAACTGCACAGGTGCCATACTGAGTTCTAACTTTTCTTTTGTGTCTTCATCCTTGTTTTCTTTCTCATCTCATATTCTTTTTTTCCCTTGGATGCCCCTAGGTCTATAAGGGAGAGCGATGAAGTGTGGTACTAGGGATCCCTGATTCTTTCCACTGAGTTATATGCTTACACGAGTTGAGAATTCTAGCATCACCAGTAGGCATTTACAGACATCCAACCATGCATTTTCTTCCGCTTATCCGGTTCAGGGTCATGGCAGTGACTGGAGTCTACCCCAGCTGTCACACAGTGAGGGGTAGGGTACACCCTGGATAGGTCACCATTCTGTCACAAGGCCATCCCATAGAGACAGAGTACTATTCACATTCACATCTATGGCCGAGTTAGAACCTCTAGAATAGCGGGCTCATGGATTCAGACCCATGACCATCTTCCTGTGAAACAACAGAACTAACCACTGTGCCGTCCATATTTTTAACCATATGTTCAATTTTTCAAAATTAGGTATTTTCTGCTGTGAAATTTTACTCTTCCTCCATTTTCAAAGCCAGTGGATTATACAGTGAAGGCTGACAAAGAATCTATAACAAACAAACACGGTACCTTTGCCTGAGGCCACATTTTGAGAATATAGATTTCTCTTAATTCAATAATTCATACAACCATCATTTTTGTAGAAATTGTAAGAAAAGTTGTTTAGATTTAAAATAATCATATATTGCACCTCATGGGGAACAACGACAGACAGTAGACAGTAAATCAACACACTACTGGGATGAGTTTTTGAAATTATTTCAAGGTGACCAGTACCAACTTCTTAAAACTATTATGGGGTAGTTTCTTAAAGTGGACAAAAGGATGTTTCTATGAGCCTTGGTTTCTTTTGTCCCTTCCAGCTTCCATGTTTCTCTGTCCACTTTATGTGTGATGTCTGTTTAACCAGGCTTTGCTAGCAGATGTTTGCTTGCTAATAAGTGTTTGGCAGGGGGGATTATTATGGTTTACTCACTCGACAGTTGCTCAGCTCCTCTGCAGTCAGGATAATAGTTCCACATTTCTTTCCTGGAATCCCTCTGTGAAAGGAAATCAAGAAAACAATAAAAGCTTAACAGAAATCAAAGAAAAAAAAACCTTTTTTTTTCTTTCCCACTTGTTGGCTTTTAATTGATCAGTGAGGCTGCTGTGGAAATCAAGGCTAATTTGTGTATTTTCTATCTCTGAACAAGTTCTCTTGACTATTCTCAACAACAAACTATCCAACTATTCAAGTCTAAATCATGTTTTCTTATTTTTTATTTGACTCTGATGATTTTCAGCACAGACATATGTTCCATCTTAGCCAATCCTGTTTAGAAGGATTTAAAAATATGTGCTGGCAGTTTTAGATGTCTTAATGTTTGATGCAGCTAATCAGTCTTTAGGGGATACGGATAGATACCACATAGATTTGTTCAACTTTTAGGCTGGTGAACATGTAGCAATTAGAGAGCAGAGATGAGTTCTGGTTTGACTTGAATTGATTTTAGTTTGTTTGCTCTGACTTTCTAATCAGCACACGATAGTTCATATTGTTCATATACAGATGATCTCATATAGAGACAGTCACTGATGCCTTAATTTCCTTTCATCTTGGCTTCATTATTAGAGTTAATACTAAGTTGTAGTGACAAGTAAATCCATCATGATGTCACCTGTTCAGAAAGCTGGATTAAAGCTTTAACCCTGTAACATCATTTTTGTTTTTTTTGAGTTTTTGAGATCTTTAGATCTTTAGTGTGATTTTTAAAACTCATGCAAATTGATATTTGTTTAGAAGGTATGTTAGAAAAATTCGATTTGTTGCTAATTATTCATTGGTTCGGGTTTTACAGGGTTAAATAGAGAGTGAAGAAATGCTATAAAAGCAGATAGACAAGCAAAGAAATCATCGAAATGCTCATTGGATAAACATGCTTTCGAACACATTTCTTTATGTTGCTGTTGATGTCACATAATTAATTGAATTATCGCTTGATTCCTTGCTCAAAGCTAAACTATTCAGAGATATTCTCTGCTTGGCAGTATTATAATGTTATGCAGATTGAGTTTACGTCCTAATTGACATGCTTCGGATCAATTTTCATCAAATCTCAATTTCAAAGAGAAAAAAAGAGATTCACAAGATTTTGAACATCAGGAAGGCCATCAAAGACTCTGCCCCCTTGTTTCGCTTATTATACTCAACTCAGAGAGAGCGTGAGGAGACAATGGTCTGTTTCCTTGAAGCCTACACATTTCAGTCTTTTCTCTTACTTTACGAGATACAATTCTGTTTGATAGGAAATATATATATATTCGCCTTAATATCTTGAGAATGTATGTGGGAATGAACATTCTCTTACAGATGAACATTTCCTAGGTTTACAGCCACATAGCTATTGACTGTCTATCAATAAGGAAATCAATTCACGATTACTGTACACCAGCAGGCAATAGCTGGTGAACTAACCCCAACACTATTTACTCCCTCCCACAATTTTATTCTTTAGGTTTTATTCAGCTCCTGTAGAAGAGTTGATATACTGCCATGGATTTACTTCGGCCTTGTTAGAAAATCCAGAAAATTGAAAATCGTGACCACTCCATTAATCAAATAATTTTTTTTTTACAAAAATCTGGTAATCATATTGGACTCAGGGGCGCTTGTGTGTGGAAGAATTCATCATTGCTGGTGTTACTCTGACCTCTTAATCCTGACTGCAGCTCAGACCTCTGCACCAGTTTTCAAGCAAAAGAAACCCCATTAATCACCTCGCTTCACTGGCTCCCGGTTAGCTACAGATTGAGATACAAACTTCTTTTTGTGTAGAAATCATTAAATGGCCTTGCCCCAGCTAACTTTACTGAACATGCTGTCAGAGACCTGAAATTCTCTGCTCCTGGAGTGTATTTGGATCCTGGGATTTTCTCAATGCAAACGATGGTTAATTGTTCCAGATTTGTCTGTGTGTAGATGTTCTTGAGTATGTGGCAGTAAGGTGTGATTGTATTATAATATCACTATTTTGGAACAGTTTTCTGTCTCAGCTGTTGCACCATTGTGACCCTAAAGTTTACTGTTATTAAGTTGGAACATGTTAACTGTGTAATTCATGAGCTGTTTATTTTATTATCCATGTGGGGCAGTATTGTGTTTTATTTTACAGTAACAAGTAGTGTAAGGGATTAAAATTTGAATGCACTAATGACATTATTGTCAATTACCCCCATAACAGTAACACGGAGGAGCACGAGGGAGAGAGGCAGACATGACGGCTGGGAAAACAAGACAGAAAACATAACTAAAGAAAGACTACTAAAGAACCAAGACATAACCAAAAATACAGAAATATCACAGGGAAACACAAAACGCTGGGTAAGAAAGACCCAGAACCTGACAGGAATAGGTAGAGCAGGATAACATTAAGCTTCTGGAACAGTCTTCCCAAAGCCCTGACCTCAAGCCTATTATGCCTAAAAGCTGAGTGGGACCAGGAAAGCAACCAATTTAACTGAACTCCGCAAACTCTGCCAAGAAGACCTTTCACTTGCATCCCAGTCACGGAAGTGTTGGAGGTAGTGCATAAGAGATTACAGGATGACCCCAACCTCAGCAACAGGACCACTCTCAGCATCGACCAAGTGTGTTTGCTTTTGGAACTGTGTCTTCATTCCACCTACTTCACATACAAGGGTCAGTTCTACAGGCAGAAACATGGGTGTGCCCTGGGCTCCCCAGTTTCACCCATCGTGGCCAATTTGTA